TTGCAGATAATACTGTTGATATATATCCAGGACAAATACAATTCTTTTTTCAACATAAATTTTTCGGTAATACCTTCTTAACACCAAAAAAAAAAAAAAAAAAATTAAATTATAATTTATTAAATAAAAATTTATAGTATTATAAATATAATAATTATTAATTTATAATGTAGTTATCTATTGATCAATAGTATTAATAGCTATTTGAAGTTTATTATCTATATCTTCTGTTTTATTATTATTTTCTTCTTCATTTAAATTATTATCATCATTTTCATTTGATTCTTCATTATTTAAAATATCTTTTTCATCTTCAATTTTTTCTAATCCTTTTTTAAATGCTTTAGCTTGTTTAGTAATTCCTTTTTTATAATATTCTAAACAATGTTTACAACCATTATGAATATTATAATATTTATCATGATAAGAATGTCCACAAATATATGTTTTACCAGTTAAATATCTAATAGGAATTCTACAATGATCACAACTATCTAGTAATGGTAAATGAGCTGTATGATAACCAGTTGGCAAACAGTTAAGATTAACAATTTCATCTAGTGTTGCCATAGAAAATTTAATATTATCTTTAGTTTTGATTATTTTACTTTTTCCCATATTTTGAAAAATATTTTGAAAATGTTCTAATAAAAATAAACTACTTTTTTTAGCTAAATAATCTAATTGGTTTGGTTTATATGGATATATTTTTTTTGTACAAAAAGTATTAAATAATTGATTATTATATATATCTAATAAATATGATTGTTCAATAATATGATCTGCTGTATAATTAATATTAATATTTGCTCGTAATTTACTATGAAAATTTTCAACAAAATAATCATTAAAATTAACTAAAGATTGTGATATAATATTTGCTAAAGGATAATTAATTTGTTACCAATAAAGATAATCTGATATAAAAGCTAAAGGTGCTTTATTATAATACTTTTTTTTCCATCATAATGCAAATGTCCATAATCGAAATAAAGTATCAAAATATTGATTAAAAAATCCAAATCTAAAAAGAATTGTATATATATCCAAAGTTGCAGGTACTAAATTATCTAAAAGATCTAATATCATTCTGTATTCTATATCAATACAATTATTTCCAAATTTTAATAAAATTTTTTGTGATGTTTTTTTCTGGTTTTACTAAATCACACCAGTAGTGTTCAACACCACATCAATTTTAACCAATAAAATCACTGATCTGCAGTGTAATGTTAAGATCAGGTGTAATATAAAATCAAAACAAACTTTGTTATTTTTTTAAAAAATCTTTAATAACTCAAAATTTTGCTTATGAAACCACTTTTTGTGTTCTAATAAAAAAAATTTCTTGCAAAATTTTAGTATAAACTATACCCTTGCCCCATCCTAGGCCTTAGCCTTAACCTTAATATTAATTAAATTTTAATTCATTGTTTATTTGTTTTGATGATGATCTTTATGTTATACGGCATACTGGTGTTGAACACTGATGGTGCGATTTAGTGTTATTGTTTTTTTCTATCCATTATGAATTAATTCAAGTAATAAATTAATTCTCCAAGGTTTAGGTTTTTTTGCAAATGTTTTTTCACCAAATAAATAATGAAAAAATTTTTAAAAAATGAATAATGAACAAGAATAACTTGTTCACAAAAATTTAAAGAAATATGAAGAGGTTCAATAATTGGAATAAAATTACTAATATTTTTAGGAACTATTAAAGAATTAAAATCTGGTGTATCAACTTTTTTATAATAATGTATTAAAATTTTTCGAATAAAATATTGTCTTGGCCAATCAGCAACTATTGGTATAATATATTCTTGAAGATATGGTTGAAAAGATTCTATTGAAGTAATCATTTTTAATGTATCTAAATAATCTTTTGTTGATTTTAAATTTTGATTTTGTATACCAATTATTTTAATATTTTTCATTGATCTTTCTCTTTATGTTCACTTATTGCATCATCATATATATATAAAGTAAGTAATTCAATTTGATTTTGATTTTCAAATTGAATATTATTAGTTATCTAATTAAGTTTTTGTGTATTAT